AGAGTCGATCTTTTCGGGAACCTGAGACGAAACAGGTAATGGTTGAGTCCTAAATTCGAGAGTCAGAATTTCCAACAGATCCGTTATAGTTGAGCGGTGGAGGAGGTCTGACCTGTCTGTGGTTGGCCGAGCGCATCAGCTTGAATATGTCTGCCGGAGTTGTCATCGCTTCGACTTGACATATCTGATGTTCCTTCTTAGCGGCTGTGATAGTCGCACGAAGCTTCTTCGCACAGATTTTCCGCTGTGAAAGTGACGTCGCGGCTCGGTATTCGACGTATGCGGATTTGCACCCAGAGTCCACCACGGTGCAGATTTTCCGATCCCCTTCCTGACCCTTGTTCCTGTCGCTTTGATGGCTTCCGAAAGATGGAAGCAGATCTCTTGGGCGTACTCATCCACTTTCTCTGTTGTACTCAGATCTAAAGCTGGATGTACCCATTTTGCAATGGCCCGCGCAAAATTTGGTAGATTTTCCTTGGGTACCCTGATCTTTGCTGGCACTGGGTCCCTGGTGGCGGTTGCCGCAGGGTTAATTCCGCGGATTGGAAGATGGTCGCTGGTCATACACTCCTCACGATCGACCCAGGCCCGGGCTCCAGAAATATTGGTCCAAGCTAGGTCCAAGGTATTTCGGGCTTTGTGAGTGGGCTCTCCGATGATAAGGCCAGAGACATGGAATTTTTCCGCCCACTTTTCTATCTCATCACCTTGTCCATGCGGCTTAGTAGCGCCTGGTTGCCAGGCCGCGTGCACCGAGTTGAAGTCCCCAGCTGCGATCAACCTCGGGGACGGGTTCCAGTTTATCAGTGGTAGGATAGCAGTCGAGTCGTTGGGAGCTTTATACACGTTGAGGAACGTGATTTCATTGACCTTAACCCAGCAGTTATCACCGGTGGTTGTGGAACAAGAAAATAACTGCTCCGCTGATATCCCATTTTTGTTCTTTCGGGTGTATGTTACAGCTCTCGGTCTGACATCTACACCTCCGAGCGGTGTATGACAGATATCGCCTGGGTGTGATATGGTTTCTTTTGATCTTAAGTTCTATCGCGGTTCTTGAATTAGCACAATATCTACGCCTAGCTCGTAAGGTCGAGAGAGCGCAACGTTGTGTGTTGGGCCACCCTTGCCTACGTTGATTGACATAAAACTTAGTGTAGGAGGGGGGCAGGAAGGGGCCCGTAGGGCGCCCTTCACAAAACTTCTTCAGGGCTCAAGGCCGCAAAGCCCGAACCCTCAGTTATTGCTGTATCTATCGACGATATGTCCTTAACAGCAGTTGGAGATGTTGGTCGTGTCGATCTGGCGGTAGCTGTAGCAGCCTCTGCGGCCTTGGTAGGAGCTTTTGCTCGAGCGACGGCCTGGTACTCGCGTTGGCCAGCTTGTCGAATCGTCACAAGTTGCTCCCAGGTAGCTGGTCCAGACCTGTTGGGACGAGCAAGACAGTCTCGACTGCTGGATTGGTGAGGCCCTCCGCAGTTTCGACATTTAGCGGCTGCTTTACACTCGAATGCCGAGTGCATGGTGGATCCGCAGTTGCAGCAGGCTGGCGTGCGAGAACACCCACGGGTGGCATGAAAACCGAGACATCGCCTACATTGCTGTATGGTAGGGCGGATTCGTTGTATGGTTGCTATTTCTGAGTCGTCGAAGAGTCGGAATCCAGACTTTGGACTAGCATTGTTGGGAAACAAGGCCGCCCAGGATCTGAAGAGAGCGCCGAGCTTAGCATTTCCGTGTATCCTTACTTGGTGTGGAGTGCAGTTGGTTACTCGGAGGGTTTCGGCGGCCACCATATCGGCAGAGACTTCGATTCGTCCTTCCAAGCCGAAAACGATGACTGGAACCGTAGCGATCCGGAGGGAAACTAGATTACTAGGTGGTTCTAGTTTTGTCTCCACTTGTATAAAGATGCTGGAGGCCTCCAGCAGTCGAGGTTTTGCATATGGGTTTTTGGCACGGATGGCAAAGCCAGTGGGAACACGTTGCAACTGGTCGACATCAGAGGGGGTGCATTGTGTTTGTTTCGCTACTACTTCGCGAATGCCAGCCGGAGAGAGCTATCTCCACTCGTGGTTCGCATCGAGACGCAGAAAGAGTCGGTCATCTTTCGATGCTGTTATTGCTGCTGCCGGCATCTTCTCCGGTTTCCTGACAGATGGGGCAGCCGAAATCGAGGTGATGTTTGCAGGAGCATGTGCGCCTGACTTTTGGTGTCCTGCTCTGGTGACAGTGGCCTCGGTGCTTCTGGGTGGGATCAGTACAGTCGCCTTTGTAATATTCCGTGGAATGGCTACTGGGATGACGGTTGCAGGGAGAGTCTCAACACTTAGCCGTTGGGGTAGTACTGGCAGAGTAGTGCTTGGCCCGGCCGCCACGAATTGTGCGATGGCTGCCCTTAGGTAGACTTTGATGGAGTGTACAAAATTTTTATCTTCACCGGTAGAGAGCGATAGAAGAGCTGCCTCGACACTGCTAATAGCCGTCGAGCATATTGTGAATTGCGGGGCTTATTGTCTTGCCCTGCGCTCCTCCGCTTCGATCGCTGCAAGCAATTCTGGAGGGTAGGTATTTTTTCTGCATACTGCTTCTAATACTAGAGGCAGTGGGACCAGTGGAGAGTTTTCGGCTCCTGCTGCCTTAGTAGATGGTGTTCCAGCCCTTTGCGCGGGCCTCACTTCTGCAGGTCGCGGTAGTGCTGGAACTATGGTGCGCTTCTCGAGTGCGACGACGGTTTTTATGTGGGATCCGGCGGGCTCTGAGATCTGGCTCGCGTCCACTGGGCTGGAGGATGCCCAACTTGAATCAGCGAGAGTTTTCAACTTCTCGATTTCTGCGTCTACTATGTCTACCTCGGGGACATCATTCCTTCGCTTGGAACGCAGCCGCGATGGCGTTCATGTTTTGATCATTTGATTCGAGCCTCCGTCTTTTTAGCATATGACTTGCGTGGTTCTTAATGGCAGGAGTCCATTGGTAGGGTTTGTTGACACGATCTTTGGCAGTGCCGCTGATCGCGTTTTTGTGCGATTTACGCGTCGAAGGCATTTTTAAATGTCGCCAATGTCAAACAATTTCTATTCATTTTGTTTATAAACGGGTGAGATAGATAAAAAGATGGAAATAGGCAATATGGGGGTTATCGATTTTATTTTTTACTATATCAAAATCCTACGCTAAAGCTCTAGGTCCATTATCGGTACAGGACTGGTGGAGCCGACGGGGATCACTGCTTAAAGGCCCAACTCATTCCAACCGCGAGACCCGCTACAGAAAAAGTAGAAGGTAAAGGGGTTATCGAAATGAGTGTTTTTTTTTTAGTCCCAATCTAAGTTCTATATCTCCTAGAAGTCAAGGACCGGCGTTCATGGCCGCGATCATGCTTCCCACATGCCCAACTCGATCTCACCGCGTGAACCACCACACAACTAGTAGCTAGTTAAAATTAAAATTAAATACACCCGTAAACTCCCTTTAATAAAATATTCCAAATGCAATACTCCAATTTGAGGTGGGAAAGCGACACTTCTCGTCTCGTTTTCCTTCCTGCCATGCTTCGTGCTATGACCTAATTAATGTCCTCTCCGCTGAGAGTTGGAGACGGACTCGCAGGTTGGCCTCCGAAGCAGCCGGTTTCCTGCACAAAATGTGTAAAATTCTCAAGGCACCTAGGCCCGAGAAGCTTTTGGACAAAGTCGTGATGTGATGTTGTCCCTCGAAGTCGACGCGTTTGGCGTGCGTGCAGTCGACAGTGAATAAAGTAGAGAGGCGATGTTTCTTCCCTACACGCATACTCCATTGAAGCGGCGAAGTTATTGAAACGACGATGGCATGCAGCGAAGTTTCCGTGTCCCGTCCGAGCTGAAATCAGTTTACGAAGTAGCCGCCGAGAAAGTGCCAGCTCGCGTGGCTTGCTTCGTCGCATGAGAAGGCCCAGATTACGATATCTAGGTGGACATGCTTCTTCCCACCAGTCGTCGAGAAGAGCTTGACGTTTCTGGTTCATCAGTCGACGAACGTACGCCAAAGTGACGGAGCCAGGCTGGCTCTTTACTTGGCAGCTCTATCGGCCTCTTCGTTTCCCTGTATCCCGGAGTGGGCTGGTATTGTTACAGGCTGTAGCCTTGTATGTGGATCCGGAACTATCCGGCTCCGTCTATGAACAAAAGCGCGCTAGTGTCACGGGAAAACGCGCTCGATTGGAACGAAACATCTTGCGCGCGCGTTGTATAGATTCTCCTTTTTAGATAAAATATAAATTCATTTTTGGACCCATAATTGTGAACAACAAATGTGAAGTCTCTTCACAGGTATTCACCGAACCGAGACTCGAGCCTTTTCTGATAATGCTCTAAATTGTCGCACGTCGTCGAGACTTGTTATGGCAGTTCCCGTCAGCAGTGCCTTCACTGCAGACTGACTATCCGACAACACGTTGATCCGCCGCCTGCTGTCAATTCCACTGTTCTCCCTCTCCAACAATCTCAGCGCAGCTTCCAGGGCCTTTGTTGCCCCTACAATATCCGCATCAAGCACTTCACCATCATGCTTGATGACGGAAATGAGTGTTTTTTTTCTATTTTTTTTCTTCCGTCGGAGCGCCAAGCTTGGCTTAGGTCCCTACTACCCACTAAAATAACTAGAATGGACGTCAGTGCTTACTGCCCTGGCGGCTTTGCCCTTGCTACTTCCTAACTAGGTTTGCAAGGCAATTCTCTAATTACATGATTGTGTATAGCGTAGCACCTGCACTTTTACAGCCAGTCCCCAAGGCTCATTACTCCTTTGATGTATTACAACCACTCTCGGGATGCCACTAATAGATCCATTCAGAAATACCACACCATCCATCCATAATGCAAGGCTCTAAGTTGAGGCAGAGTTGAAGACCTATTTATTTCTTCTCTGGGGTTTCTAGGGCAGGTCTTTATGTAAAACTCTGAAATAGAAAGCCACTTTGCTACACGTAGGGCCCCTTCCCAGGTTCCCAGCAAAAATTACTTTGAGTCCCTTGAAGATGCTGGAGCTCGAGGGTGTCTGTGGGTGGTGAGGTGGCACTCTAGGAAGTGCAATGTGGCTTTGAGCTGTCTGCAGCCACAATGAAGGTTAGCGCCCTCGTGATTGAAACAGCGGTGGTATTCTGCAAAGTCACCACGTCCTGAGCGGGCAGTGTATAGTCTAGAGAGAAATGGTCTGGCTAATGAGAGTTCCTTAGGATGACGAGAGTATGAGTCAATGGCAAGCTCCCTGTAGGAAACTGGGGCATGTCGGTCCCAGTAGTCATTCATAGCCGTCGATACTTCTGCTTTGATGCGATTTTTCGCGGTATCAAGAGAAACGTACCCACGAGGTATAGTCGGGGGTGTTGAAAGCTCCTCGCGGGCAGAGGCTTCGGCCAAATCGTTACCCAATATGCTAGAGTGGCTTGGGATCCAATAAGCCTTGACTTTCCCGGGAGGGATGTGTGGAAGCCGGATGCGGAGAGGCCAGTCTTGAGAGAGGGCCTGTTCTAGCTGCTGTAGGGCGAGCTAGAGCGTCGGGTAGTTCTGTACGGACTGGGCCGTCCAGTACGTGACAGTAGTCACGAGCTGTGGACAGGCACGACGTTAAATTCAATCAAAATCAAAAATCAAATCAGGACATCTTCTAGACTCCTTGCCGCCCTCTCATCAGGATTTCTTCTAAGAACTCTCATATTTAAAGGTGTTCCTCTCCAAATGTAATGTTCTCCCGCCACACATATGCCGCTCGGGCCGGGTTGCTAGATATTATTGTTTCACCTGAGTTGGTCGATCTTGTCGGTCAGGAGGGGTGTTTTCACGCATACGTAATTAGAATTTTAATATTAATATTAATTCGTGATAAGATGAAGGGGTAGCTAATTAAAATCATCAATTTAAGAATAGCTTCCCCTATATAATTGGTCAGGAAAAAGTCATGTAAGGAGACACAAGATTAGATTAGATTAGATTTTTTATTATAGTCCCTACTGAGTCTAAGACTATGAAGGACTTTGTGAATCTAACTAAAGATTCTAATTACATTTAAGAAAGTTTATTTCGAAATATGCCAAAATTTGTTCTTGTAGATATTGAGGGTCAAGTCCTTTTCGGAGATACAAGAGAGTTACGAAGAGAAGGACAAGAACACAGCCGTTAATGCGAAGATATTGGCAAGAATTGATTACGTTTAATTCCGGCTGGCAAATGCTTCTTCTCTTGTATATAATAGTTCAGCGTGAGAGAGAATTATACCTCACGCAACGTCTTCTGTACTTACCCTTTACAATACATTTGTTTACCCATCTCTTCTTCGGGAAGACCATATATCCATTGCCCAGTTCTTCATCAGCAAGACCCACGTGTAATACCTACTGCAACTAGTTGCCCATTCATCTCTTACTAGAGAAGACCTGTCGTCCCTTTGACCCATTTATTATCTTCATTCACCACCTAGATCTCCACTAGGCTATACAATGCACCTCGTGGAACACTGTCAAACCCTCATCCTTGAGAGGTGTTCGAAATGGAGACATAGAGTGTTGTGGACATACGGGCTATCCATTTCGCCAAGGTTCCCGACACGATCTTGTGTGTAGTTAAGAGGCTGGAATGAGTAATAGAGTAGCGCTTTATAATACCTAATGGATACACAAGCGACTGTATGGCGTAGTCACAAGGAGTTTACTTGGTTTTTTATGCCTAGATGGCGCCACATTCATTTATGCTATGGCTTAGTCTCTGTGCCGCTTACACTTGTACTTAAAGCGCGCACCTCCCACGCTTTTAGCAATAATCCGAACATAAGAATATTTTAGTCAACTTCTCGTTTCGTTCCAGAAGTATTGCTCCCATTTTTTTGCGCGATAATTCCAACACCAATGGCCGCTCATAGGTAGACTTCTATGCAGTCTAATAAATTCTTTATTTTCACCCTTAGAGAGAGGTGGAAGTGCTGCGTCAACGGTGCTTGTTGCAGTCGAAAAGATCGTTAAATAGGCTGTGATTTGCGCCGTTCGAGGCTTTACGGTCTCATCACTAAGTGTAGCTCCAGCGAGAATCCCATTGCTGCTATGATGACTATAATTTTCTAAATCAGCATAGTGAATTTCTCTGCAGGTGACTCTGAAGGCTCAATTTCCTTGTGTCGAAGGCTTATTTTACTTCTCTTGAGACGGATGCCTATGGGGCCAGCTCAATGGGTTTGTTGGCCTCGGGACCATGGTTTTCAAATCTGTTTGGCTCAAAATCGGTCATTTCTTTGTCCACATTATTAATAGACTTCCATTTTAGAGAAGCCTCACACGTAAATATACTCGTTATTAATTGCAAGAGGCCTGTTGGTTTGGACACAATGGTATCCGCTCAATGCTGCTGGTTGTTATCGCCTTGGCACGTTTGGTCCTCAGTGGAAGCACTTGCAAATGCCTACCGATGGTCATCTATTCGAGTAATCAAGCTAATTAGTTTTCATGGAAGGAAAACAGATAAATTTGGAATTTCTATGATAGAAATGTGGGCAGTATGAGTAATGGATTATTGAATGAATATAAATAGTTTAAGTGCTCACTTGGAAGCCCACTTTGGTCCCAACAGGCTGATTACGTGATGGGACTGCAAGCGAATTAGTTGGGGAAAATGGAATAAGCTTCCACAGTTCTGAAATACTCGTCACTTCAGGTCTATATACATATTTATTAGGGAAATAATAAACCCGTAGACATAAGGACGAAAAGCGCATCCTTCCAAGTAACTAGAAAATTGAAAACAAGTACATGATTTGGAGACATGGACCTGTCAAGAATGCGGCCAGCTGGAGAGTCCCAATAACTCCATCTTCTAACAGATTAATTTTTAGTTGACCTGAAAACATCGTAAAAAATTGCGACCGTAGACGCCACGCAGCCTCGTACAATAAGGCTGCCCCGCGCTCCATCTCACATATCCATACTCATCTCTTCTCAACTAGAACATGTCGACGGCTGTGTCTGCTCCTGCAAAAGTGCTCCTATCCGGGGGCTATCTCGTGCTTGACCGCCTGCACACCGGCCTCGTCTTTGGCCTCGACGCCCGCATCCACTTACTCGTGGTCGAGCCAGCGAGTCCGTGCAAGCCGCTCGAGTCTCGCATTGTCGTCAAAAGTCCACAGTTCCTCGAAGCTCAATGGGGATATGACGCCAGGTGCCATGGCAACAAATGCGGCGTTATCGTCTCTCCTTTAGAATCCAGGTGAGGACAATGCAAGTGGCTTTCTGGCCACGTGACTGCTCCAACTGTCAGCCCTGGCTAACAGATGCATGGCAGCCCTACGCCGGCGACAGTCCGCAATCTGTTTATTGAAACTACACTGACATATGTTTTGACTTACATCGCCGAACTCTGTCCACAACTACACTCATTCCATGCCGACATCACTATTCTTGCCGATGCGGATTACTACTCGAATCCACCGTATCCCTCGACTGTCTATCCTCGCTTTTCAAACTTCTCTGTTCCGCTGGCAGGTGCTCACAAGACTGGACTTGGCTCATCAGCTGCCCTCGTGACGGCCTTGACTGCCGCTCTCCTCACCCACTATCTACCCACCTTCTGCCTTGATATTGTTGCAGACCGGTTGCGCCTTCACAACCTCGCCCAGTTGTGCCACTGCGCGGCTCAGGGCAAGATTGGCTCGGGATTTGATATCGCGGCAGCCGTCTTTGGTTCTTGTCTCTACCGACGTTTCTCGCCCCAGATTTTGGAAAGCGGCCTCGATTCAGGTACACCTGAGTTCGCGAGTCGCCTGCGCTGCCTCGTTGACGATTCAGCGGGCTTATGGGATGCAGAAATTCGCAAAGGTCCCGCCACCCTACCTGATGGATGGGCTCTGTTCATGTGTGATATCGACTGCGGCAGCGCGACGGTCAGCATGGCGAAGATGCTCATGGACTGGCGCCAGCAATTCCCTAACCTTGCCTCAACTCTGTGGGAACGGCTTCAGCAGTATCAAGACCAGCTAGTCTGCCACCTTGAGACTGCCGATATACCTGCAGTTAGACAGACCTTCGAGGGAATGCGCCATGAGCTTCGTCGAATGAGTGTTCAGTCTGGAGTGCCAATTGAGCCTCCCGAGCAGACTGAATTGCTCGATGCATTAACGAATAAGGTAGATGGGGTAATTGGAGCTACAGTACCAGGCGCTGGCGGCTACGATGCTATTGCAGTGCTCGTGAAAGAATCCAGCGAAACCAGAAAGGCTTTCGATAATTTTCTTGACAACTGGAACGAGCACAAGGGGACAAGAGTACGGTTACTGCAGGCTCAAGGTGGGATGGAGGGGGCGCGTGCAGAAAACTTTATGAGTTATTTCGCGGGAGGGCATTAGGCCTAAATTCATTCTCCTGGCCCGTCATACACTTAGAATCGTCCTCCACCCCAATACCCCACGTCTTGAGTGAGGGCGACTGTATGCAGGGGCTGAGATGAGACGATTCGCGTGAAACTGTGTATCTAGGTAGGTTCCAGCTCACGATAACTCGTTCCATCCTTGCGCCGCTGCGACGCGCCCACGGACCTGCGCGTTTGCCTCCCGATCCGACATTGCCCAGTGACGCGGATAGGGTCTGGTGAGCCACTGTAGCCGCTAGTAGATATCCCATAAGCTGACCTGGCCATCTTTTCCACCAACTGCTATCCAGTGTGTGTGATGAGCCTTCCAGATTCGTTCCTGACGCGCTCTCACGGCAGAGGAATTCTGCATGACCTGATTTTCCCGGGGGACCTGTTCCACAACATTCGGGTCGCTTGGCAGGCTCGCAGCGATGGAGGTTCCGTGTGCATCGAACTTATGTATCGATGCTGGGCTTGAGTCCATTAGGATATCCGCAAAAGCCAAGGTGTAGCAGCCCTTTTGGTGCCACTTTAACACGGCTAGTTCTCGTAGCGTCTGGTACGCATAGACCCGCACTCGTCCATCCCAGCCCGCCGTTGCAAATATCTTACCGTCATTTCGAGTTTGTAGGCCTTGTTGACCTGCATGTCTGGTGTTGATGAGCTTGCAGGCGGAAGCCTCTCCTGCCTCTCGATCGCCACCTTGCGTGCGGATTTCGGATCCTGAGCCTGGAATTGTGTGACAGGCAATTAAAGCATCTGCGCTGGATGTGACATAGCTGTGTCGATTGGATGAGATTGCCAACGATAATACTGGCTGCGAATGTGGATGGGCTGAGTAGAGAGCCTGCCATGCGGCATTGATAAGCTCCCAGACGCGAGTGTGCCCGCTTTCGAAGCCAGCTATCACATTCAGGCGGCCCGTTTTCGGGTGGTAAAAGATTGATAGGGCCATGATCATACCTCCCTTGAAAGCAGGGGACGCGGGAATTGTATGCATTCGAGCGGTCGAGGGCAGGTGAAATATGTCAATCTGGCAGCGTCAGTGAGGTGGGTCATGACGCGTCTGGAAGAAAAAAGTTATCCCTACAGTCTCGGAAGTGAGTATATGGGGCACTGCTATAAGAATTTCCGAAGACGCTGTGGCCGGCATCTCAACATGGGCAAAAGAACAAAAGTTCATGGTGTTCACGTTTAGCACATAGAGGCACCACGGTAGCTTTCGGGGATCCGCAGGCGTTTCGAGGGGCAAGATCTTACTCATGGTCTCTTCGTCCTCATCTCGGAGCCGCCAGACCACAAGTTTGTTATCTTTCCCATGCCTGTCTGCATTAGCTGGGGCTTGCCGTCTTCCCTTGAAGTTTGAGCTGGGAACTCACGTGATAATCTTGTCCTGAGCCCAGTCTCCGATCCCCAAGAGGGAACCATCGTGGGCTTTCCACACTGTCGTCGGGCGCTTTATGGCGAGATCCCATATGACTACCCAGCCCTCCGCATCTCCTGTTGCCAGTCGAGAGTTCTGGCGCATAAATAATGTGGCCTGGACAGCGGAGCCATGACCCCGCAGGATGTAAGCTGGCTGAGGTGGTGCGCGGGACATGATGAATCGGACAACGCCTCAACTCGTTGACATGGTAACGATGCCGACGAAAGCACAAGTTCGGCGAAAGAGAGATGAATGTCGGGTCCAAGGACACAGATGCGACGCACCTGCGGATTTGTAGCGGTTATCAGGTGACCATGACAAGAGCTCGTGATCCGGGACGCGCGAGAGGCCAACTGCCTCGCATGCCCCACACTTGCCGTAATTCGAAGGTCTACGACTCAAAAGGGCCGAGATCCCGCTGCGGTGGCCATTGAGGCGCATCGGGTCCTGGGGATGCGTCTGACTATTCTCGCCCGGGAAGGCAGCTCGAGGCGAGCAAGGATGGCCGGGGCCAGACGGGATCGGACGCGTCACCTCTCTCGCGTGTGAGCGTTGAATACTTCAGTGCCACCATTTTCTCGCCCTCATTTCTCACTTCTCACTACTCATAGCTCCTCTTCCCCTTCGCTCGATCCTCATCTCCTGCTTTCTTCCCTCTGCTCAGCCAAGCTCATGATCGGCACTGACCCTCCTCCTTCTATCCCTCCTGCCCTAATACTGCCGTAGCGTGCAGCCGATCGCAGAAGTCAGCTCTCTTCCGGCTCAGGGGGGGACCCTTGACTTTCACCAGCGCGCACGTCCTGTCCATAAGGCGGGCCCTCACTACCGACGGTGGTCGGCGAGACCAATGTCGACAAACATAATCCAACGCCGTCATCGAAATACCGGACCACCATCTCGCAGGCCTACAAGTGGGGCAGGTTCGGGCCGCTGACCCCTTCGTCGAATCGGAGGGAATGACCCGGAAACCTCACCATCCCGTGTCACTTCACGTTCTAGGCGCGTCGCTGGGTTTTCATCGTTTTTCTCGAGATTTAACGCTGCGGGCAATCTCGCTAAGATCTTTGCAAGTCATCAGCGCACGGCTGAAAAGGGGGACCAGGCTATCCACTGATGCTGTCGGTGGACGTCGATCAATGGGGTGCGGCCGAGTCATCAGCAATGACTAAACCAAAGAGAGTGCGCACAGGCTGCTTGACGTGCCGGGAGAGACACCTGAAGTGTGACGAACAACTTCCCAACTGCAACAATTGTAGGCCATGCCTCTCTAAACAGCCACCTTGAACGCAGACTCATTTTTCCTCAGGTCGCAAATCTAGTCGTCATTGCAAGAGAGGTGTTCGTCTGAACTTTATAGATACCACCGTGAGGGATCCACCCTTGCTACCTAAGACGGCTGATTGGAAAGGTTTGTCGCCATCCAGCAGCGACTCCATTAACATCCCTAACCGCCCACAGTGTATTTTCAAGATGAATCGAGGGACATAGCCTCGGAATATAAAGGTGGCTTGGACCAATATGACCGCCGCTTCCCTCAAACCAACCCAGGCCCGCCGGCAAGACGACCTCATATTCGCCCCTCCGTATCTTCGCAAATTGTCCTGCCCGAAGAGGACACTTCGTGGCTGCAAATTCCACGCCACGACCTCTTCGTCTCCAAACCGCTTCATATCAAGCCAGAGCCCCCGGAGTCCCGAATATCCAGCCAAGATCTCCCAGCTGCTAGGAATGCGCCGAAAACCTACTTGCCACCACCGATATCGTACTATGACGTCGATTCAATTCCTTCTCCCTTGCGTGACTGGGAAATGTCCTACCTCAAGTCAGCCGAAGAAGTGCTCCTAATGCAGGTGTTTGTAGAGGAAGTAGGCATATGGATGGATAGTATGGACTCAATGAAGCATTTTTCTAGACAACTACCATTTCAGGCCCTAGGAGAGCCCATGCTTCTCAACGCCTTCCTCGCCTGTGGTGCACGACACTTGACCCTAGTTAATCCAAACTATCACGAAGATAAGGCGCTTTTATACTACGATACCGCTACTACCCAATTACTACGAGCCCTGCAGAACCCTGAACGAGACACAATGTGCTGCGCCACAACTGCAGTTATCCTCAACGTCTATGAAATCATGTCGGATAGGGCCATGCAACGTATGAACCATATTGCCGGTGCACGTGCCCTAATCAAAGAGTGCGGATGGAACGCAAAGAGCACTGGTATTGGATCGGCATGTTTCTGGTTAAACGTAGGAATGGAACTGCTTAGCTGCCTCCACTTTAACTGGCAGATTGCTTGGGAACCTGATCAGTGGGGCGTTGACTTAAATTTCCAGCGAGATTTGGGTGTCGGTAAAGAGGAGGTCTGGGTGCATCGTATTCTCTACATTATCGGGAAAATCGCGAATTTTCGCGCTCTGGCTTCTGAATCTCAACATGAAACCCCTGACGAAGGTCATTTGTCAGCCCAGGAAGAACAGATCAGGGTGCAAGCTCGTCTGTCAGAATGGAGAAAGCTAAAAAGCCTATGTGAATGTTGGAATCAGAGCATCCCGCGGACGATGCAGCCAATTGGATACTTACATCCGTCGCAGACTACCTCACTATCTGCATTCCCAGAAATCTGGTAAAGAAAGGTAATTTCCTACATTTTTGACGTATGCTAATCTAACAAAGGCTAATAAAACGAGCGACAATTGTCGGGCGCTTATTCTATCACACTGCCATGATACTCTTGGCCCAGGTTCACCCTCTCAAGTCTAGGCAAAACGAAGAGATGAAAACGGTGCAATTAGACCATGCCCATATGATCTGCGGGATAACGGCACATGTGAAAGATAGAGGTGTTGCTAGCGTTGCATTACGCTCTCTGGCTATTGCTGCAGAATGTCTCGTGATACGCCGTGAGCAAGAAGAAATCCTTGAAATTTTCGAGAAAATTAGAAAGGAAACGGGTTGGAAAGTTGGTTTTTTGTACAAAGAACTGCATGCCAAGTGGGGTTTAGAATCGGAAACACAGCAATTAAGTATCCCAATTCCAAGTCTACGACAACAGCCTCCTTCATCACTAAATCATTCACAGCCAGCACCTATGCCTGCTCAACAGCAACGAACGACACTGAACGGTGGAATTTTGAACCCTCTATTAGCAAAAGCCGACTTTTCTCTCCCTAACCATCCTTATCAGCAGCACTACCAACCACCAAGTCAAAATCATCAAAGTAATTCATCCTCTCAATCTTGCATTTCGAAAATTTAGTATTTTAATATTTCCGACACGGTTTCCCATGACTTTACTCTTTTTCTTTAAGCATAGCTCACCATATCTCGTGGCAATCCTCAGCTATCAAACCAATTTGGCTGGCGTTCTTCCGGGTACGAATTTTATGAATTAAGGGCACAAAGTGGGTAAGACAAGTAATTTGAAATGAGATTGGTCCTCCTGGAGAGGAACGAAATGAGTAGCGATGGGTATTTGTTTAGTCAGGAAAAGTTGCATGAATAGAACAGCTACTGTAGGCTAGGCCTCAATAAACAGATAAATTTTCAGACTTTCAGACCCTTCTATATCTATATTGAGTCTTCATAACTTTAGAGTTTTGTCTGAATACAATAGATATGGTTTTAGCATCAACTTTCGTGAAAATACACGTGACTTAATGACGCAAAACTTGGATAAAGTCGGATTTTAATGCCGCGCGTCTTACTGTAATTGTAAAGTAAGGCGCTAGATAGTATGTCCTAGGCTACACAAAAGAAGTTAGGCTAAGCTACTTGACAGCAACCACGCTCTGTCAAGACTTTTCAGACTTTTTCAGCACGACCTTCGGGAAGGAGTTGGAAGGAGGCTAAAAAGGCAGAGGGTAAATTTCCCGAGGTACCCACAAGTCTACAGCGCCCAGCTGGCCGGCCTCTTCGAACGCATCAGAAGGATCACTACGTCTTCGGATTTAGTCCTAATGTCGGTATTAGGAGAGCTCTGCACGCAGTGATTTTTGCGATTTTTCTCGGCTGCCATACACCCGAAAATGGCCATCGATTCGCTGGCTGAAGATGGGAGATAATGAATGGCAACGGGCTCCTCCAAGTGTATGATGAAATGAGGGCTTACAAGGGGTGGTATTGTTTGAGGGGAGCTGTATCGGAGGCATAGGAGGGGATATACTACTGGTATAGGTATTCTTGGCCTGTAGGCAGAGAGGACCTGCATGTCCTACATAGTCATAGACTCAGACAGGACAATAAAATGAATTAAAAAAAAAGTATGTCCTAGGCTTCAAAGAAAATGCCTAAGTCTAGGGCACTCAAACTATTCACACGCAGAAGAATGGAACAATAAAAATTGGATAACTTTGTATGTAGCAGGTATTAGAATATGCAGTCCTAATGGAGTGCACACCCTACAATAGTCTTAGACTTATAGAGGATGTGAATGGATTTAAAAAAAAAGAAAAAGAAAAAAAAGAAAATGCCTATCTCCCAACGGCGCCAGCATGTCGAATAGCATTTTCTTTGCTGAGCCAACCATCACGTGACAAATCAAAGCACGTGCTGTACGACTTTAAGTAATTTTTAAGAAAATTGATGTCGCGCGCGAAGAAAAAAGGATGGATAGAGATTCAAATAAAATACACGCACTACATATGACCTCTTTTAACCAGTTTTACCAATATGTTTGACAAGGCTGGGCGAGTTACGGGAAAATATGAAAGAAATGGGCTTTCAGAGTAGGTAAAGAAGGTTGCATCCGATTGGAGCTTTGAATGCCCGCTGATAATAGGAGCGGCCATTTCCCCCATGCATTATAATACGTGGAGAGTCATTCCACATATCAGTAGTCTAAGAACTAATATTGAACTGTGACGAGCGGACCACTGAGTTCCCAACAACAAAGTAAAGTATTTTCCTCATGCCGAGAGTTCTCAAAAGATAGGCCAGGATACGACCATTGATGCGAAGGAATTAGCAGAGATACTTCAGACTAGGCCGAGCTCATGAATGCTTTGGCCTCTGAATATAATGACTCAGCGCTTGAGAGACTCACTCCTCACGTGGTAACTTCCTAACCAACTCAATGCTTTTGACAGCTCATCCCTTTTCGGGGAAATCGTTTGTCAATTCTTCCAGCTCTTCAATATGGCGACTCTGATGTAATCTCTACCGCAACGGTTTTTCTGTTTAGCTCTTCCCAGAGAAGACAATTCATCCATTTGCCCTCTTCCCTATCTATGACTTAGCCATCTAGATCACCAACAAGGCTCGAATATGCAGCCTATGGAACACTGTCCAAAGACAATTCCTCTGAATTGCAAGGAAGCTAGGTATGATGAGCGCAAGTTGATTGAGGAGTATTCTGTGCAATCGAATGAGATTAGATATTGATGTTTAGAATCCTTCTAGCATTAACTATGAGCCTCGCGACGGCAAACGGGTCGAAGGTTTGTGTGGCCTCTCAAATTAGGATATAAGACGGGAAGGAACAAATGAGAAGGTGAAGCTATTTGAATTAGGAGCTATTCTTAATAATTAGAACAGGGGCATTTTTGGATTAGGTCCTGCTCAGCAAATCCTAGCCTAATTTTGTTAGATTATAGGCTGCTTGTAGTGGATGCTATACATGACAATATGTATATACTTTTGGATAGCACCACAATAGAACTTCATGCTTCGTCAACACACTTCTTTCCTAGGTATTTATGGGGACAGAATTAAGGATATTATCAAGGCTTGGTTTTGGCAATTTGATTGATACCGAGCGTGCTACATATCAAGCAGGTATGTAGCTCAGGTGGAAGTATCGCAGGGTAAATTACATCTAAAGCTGCCACGTATTGTAGTAGTTAAGAAAATACGGCTATTCAGAAACTAAAGCCCCGACCCAGAACCATAAGATGAATCTGGTGTTTCACGCTAGATCCAGAATGGCTGGTCGGCATGGAAAATAGGGAGTGATATCTGTAGATAGATAAAGACGTTGTAGCTCTCTAATTGTAGGCACAAGTCTTAAACCAAGTAACGTCGGAAATACAATCTAGCCTATCATCAAGCAATTTCACAAATATTTTCCCGCGTCTGTGATAACAGAAACACACATAATAATTCGACATTGAATAAAGTCGAACAGGTATTATGTGTGAAGCCGAGAGTATTATCATAAGAGTCATGCGCGCAATATATTAACTCATGAGATATCCCTAACCAAATCAATCAATTCACGTTATATCTACCTCGTAAATAATGAGCCTCTCCTATCAATAGAAGCTAGAGTATCAACATGAGTTACTTCTAAATGTCAAGTTTCTATGGATTGTTAAAAAGGCATATACAAAGATTCTCTTGACAGCGAGACGTAAAATACATCCCTCGTTACCTGAAACTGGGTCGTAGAATCAGATGGTTTGACTTTTGTCGGTATTACGATTAATCACTTCCGGGAGTCTTATTCCGTTAAGGTGATTTGCTTCTGTCTATTCCCCATATTAATCTAATTTCATGCAATTTATCAATAAGTAATTGCTCATTATATATTGACCCCCACGATTATATCAATAGCTTCTGAATTAGACATCTGCATGACTTCAGAGATAATTTAGTGGCGGGCCTATATCCTAATTTGAACGAAGATTTAGATCCTTAATTAATAATAGCTGTGGTTCATTAGGCAAGGCGTATCTGACAGGGATGACCCGAATTGTGAGATTACAGCCAAAGACTAACTAAGACGCTGACTTTGATCCTAATTATCAGAAGAGGCTTGAATCAAGCTTTCTGAATCCAATGTTCGGTAGACTATGGCAGCGGGTCGAAATATAGACCTTGAACTAATTTAAGCGGGTATGAAGAATTGACTTGGAAGTTTACTCGTATTGAACCGAACTTGCCTAAATAATTAATGCGCTCCAGCAAGATAATATTGTGGCGAGTTTTTTGCAGACGTGTTTGGCACGAGCATAATTTCACGCTTTCACCTTCGCTAGATTTTAGTATCCCATAAAAATTCACTCTCAGAATGTTCTGATGGCTAGGAGGTAGACTTCGGGAAGACAAAAAAGTCGGCTTCGATTTTCTAAAGATTTGGGAGATAATGCGGCTTCACCTTACGGTTGGCGCGGTCCGCTGCTCGATGTCGAAATTGGTCGCCGTGTAATTCGAAGATTACCGATTTCTGGCCAGCCCCTTCCGAGGTGGGGGCAGTCTTTTCTTCGAGATTCCCATCAGCAGCGTTTTGAGGTTCTACGGGCTGGTCCTTGCCATCTTCTTGCCAGATAGGTACCTGGAAGCGGAATATAGTGCCTTCTTTGGGAAGGATCTTGATTTCGTCCTTTGGAGTCACGAGCTCGAAGACACCTCGGGTGTCCTTGACAACAATTCCCCTGACACCGACCCGACTTACACATTTTGAGCGCGCCACCTCCAGCTCAGCACCGTGAAAATCTGCGGAGCATAGCTTAGCAGCGTGAGTGCTATTGAGTGGGCCGTAGCTTTTGTTGTCCCACAGGACTTCCTGGATATAGGAGGTCCAGAGTCGGTTGAGGGGTAGGTATAAGGCGTATTTTTGAGCCTTTGGTGGGATGGTATAGAGATCAAGCGCTCGCGCGCGGCGGCAGGACAGCGGTGCCGGTCTGCCAGGATGTCGAGTGCGCGCGAGACGCTTTCGGATACGCTCTTCTCGTCGAATCTGTTGCGCCGTAGGCTCACCTTGACTTGGGCCTACATGGAGTGGCCTGTGCAGGACCCGATCCGTGTAGATTCGCGTGGCCGTCTCTGGCGAGTGTGCACGCGAGAGAAGGGCAAGGGCGATCGGTTGCTGTTTAGGGGCCATTCGCGGAGTCAGTGATGGATGAGAATGTACCGTGGCTGCTCCTTTTTTAATCTTGTTAACTTATCGCTAGCTTGATCTCTGGTCACGGTTTTTTAGGTGATCTTGTCATCTAGCGCCGGCGAGTCAACAGGGGTCCCTGGAAATAAGACAAGGACCGGCTGACCAGCGCTATGGTTAACTCTTTACTGGGATGTGAAGGTGTTTGGTGCAGCGATATATAGCCCAGGACTATGTAACAAGCAGACTCCAAAAAGCCTATCCAACTAGTTCGCTCGAGACCTTTGATTGCCCGACGAAATCTAATATTCAAGAATATGTGGCATATGGAGCTTATGCATAAAATAGAAAATTCATCATCAGATTCTCCAAAGTTCCTAAACTACCATTTGGTCGATACTGATGGAGGATGCTAGAATGTAGTGGGCCCGGACATATCTCATAAGAATACTTGAATGAGATCACAGACTGAACACCTGTTAGTGGTGCCTCTACGAACCTGGAAGTGAAATATTCTCCCAGAGCCAAGTTCAGTCAAATTTCGCATTACTGATCAAGTTGGCCCACGAGGCAATGATTCAAATTACTCCACCACGTCAGTCTTTCACTTCCAAAGAGATAGAATACTACCTAAGCCTCATCAAGTCTACAAGTATGACCTAGTACATCCTCATTCCAATGATCACACCTCTCGTCGACTATTTCCAAGCCTCAGCTTGCCACCCAGTACTCACTTGCACAGATGTTTATATCCGCTGGAGGACATAAATCATTGCGCTCAAACTTAAGAGGCAGTTCATTAGAATGGATGTGAGAGAGATAAGGACAAGTTAACAAGATGATGCAGAAGAGGGATACGTTTTCGACGGGCGTGTGACTTCGAATTTTGGCAAGGAGTTTTACAAACTGAGCTTTCTGCGCGAGCCAAGATTTCGCTTGCGAAAGTGCAGCTGACACTGTAAACACAAATTAACTATGGAAGGCACCGTGGTCCGCCTCTCGGTGGTGTTCTCTGGTATAGTTTGAGTAGCCTGGGCACCTACTCCACTCGGTAAGGGGATGCCTCAGACCACGTTTCATGTGGAGATAAGTCAATGGATGATCTAGGCAAGTCTCGATAACTCAGGGTCATTTAGACGTTTCCCTGGGTGGGTACTCACTGATGAAGGTTGGCTTGGGGTGAAGAAAAAGACACCATAACTTCACAGCGGTACTTGCAAATCAAATCAGAGGCATGAGTGCTCTTGAAAATTGAGTCATATTTTCTGTAATTTTCCTCCGATATTGTGTCATAGCTAGAAAGCTGCTTGCGCAATTAAAATCTGATGCAAAAAAGAAAAAAAAATATGACGGAATAACATGGGATTAGATCATATGGAAGTAAATGGAAGACTGTTGATACTTAGATCCCATGTGCTAGGGAACAGATGACATGTATATTTAGAGGCATAATTAAGTAGATGATCCAGACAGAAGATGAGTTGATATCCGCGAATTTCAAGATTCTACATATCTGAAATATCTACGACCTCATCTGTTTACCTCCTTCGAATCGCTCTAAAGGTAGTTCCACAACCTCCACAACCTCCTCAACATAATCATAACCGCAATAAGAATGAATGTATTTCGAAATATGACATGGGCCCGGACCTGGCATGGTCACGTCTGTATCGATTTTGTACTTTTATGTGAGGTCTTTTCGCATAAACTCTTCAAGGTGATCCTAGCGTGCAAGAGTATAGGCGTTTACACATACCTGGAACCCCATTTCTTTCAGTTCTTCAGCCTCTGCCTCTGCTATAAGCTAGATTAGGAGTTTAGACTTTTCGCTTCATACCGATACTGCTAATATGTCGTTGATCGCATCATAGATAATTTGTGTCAGGGCATATTCTTGGTCTGATTTCCGAGATGATCCCGCTCTTTTTACCTTGATGTTAATCATACGGGTCAGATCTATTCCTCATATTTTTTGAATTGCAGTTTCGAAGCTTGTTGCGTGAACTTGTCGATCGCATGTTTACTCGAATTTCTAGGAAAGTTGAACTTTTGGCGTTTTAATAGTGCCTGTAAGCTGAGGAGGAAACTTCCCTGTGCTCCAATGAGTCAGAAGTTTTTCTAAAGCTGGATGGGTATTGAGGCACTTAAACTCATTTTTGTAAATATCTTTCAGTAAAATTTTCATAATCTGGTTTGCAGTCAGCATGTAATCCTCATTCCGAGAGTGTAGAGAATAATTGACGATAAAATTTTAATTCAAACGACAAAACTAGGTTAGAGTTTTGATTTCATTTCATTTAGCCCGTTCAGGTACCCTATGGGCCCATACAAGTATATCTAGCTATAATATTTACAAAGCAGGAAACTAATTCGGTAAAAACCCCCAAAATGTCTATCTCATGTCTATTAGTTTGTATGAGATTTCCTACAGGAAGTGCGTTTACATTGTTCATATAGTGTGAAATCCGTCTTATCCTTGTCCATATCGACTCATCTTTTCGTCCAATGCTATTTCTACTTCTACTGCAAGCCGGAATTGTTCAAACCAGCCTTTTGCCAGGATCCATTTTGTAATTCTCTCCATGTCATCTGGGCTGTTCACTATTGCCGTATAGGACCTACTTTTTGCTTTTAGAAGAACTTCACCTCTTCCCATTGCCCACTGAGGACACGCCAAGACCATATGTTTGACATTTTGAGACGGATATTCACACTGATAATTTGGATTAATCACTCCGGGGGCTTTCCTTCGATACAGATAAGAGTTGAATCCAGCTTGTTCATTTCTTATCTGACCTGCAATACTGCTTTGGACCCTACTAAGGTTCCGGTGGATTTTTGAGGATATGTTTCTATAAGTAATCCGTTTTCTGCCCGTTGTCTCATATGTAACAATATTTGCGGCTTTCCAATGTTCAGGGTCTGCCGAAGCTCGATGACCAGATAGTTTCTTGTTCCCTGGACGTGTCTATGAGTTTTTCCACTCCTGGAATGCGACTACCTTACCGGCATCTTTTTTTCCCCCTTTTGCATTCTCTATGCCACAATTCTGGTCTATTCTTCAACGTCTTGCTTTCGATTATTGGCGTACCTGTTCTCGGTTTCCCTTGTGGTCTGCTTAATTTTAGTGCATGTAGATAGTATCGTTCTATTGACAGGTAGTCCGACGTGTTGGAACCTCCTTTTTTTCAGGTAGATATCTATCGGGAGAGCCGAAGACTCGTGTTCTAGTATCCTACTGTTGGTAGAGCTATATGACCCTGTAATAAGCTTCAAGCATTTTCTTTGGATAATTCGCATTGGTTTGACTATCCTATCTGGTATACTACCCGCTGGCCCAGCTGCAGCCCCTGTAGAACATCCATAAGTCAGGGCTAATCTCAGTTTCGTGCTGTATAAAAGCTTTGACTTCTTGAATGTTACATCCCAAGTTGACTACGTCAATCGCTTACTGACTGTACTTGGGTGTGTAAGTTTTGTTGGATATGCTTTAAATGGGAGTCCCATTGGAGCTTAGGGTCGAAGTATATACCAAGGACTCGAAGGGAAGACTGGAGACGTCAGATGACCTTGTATGCTGACATTTGCTTCTAGGTTGTGTCGCTTCCTTGCTCTTGTGAACTGCATGAGTTGGTACTTCTCTGGCGCAAACTTCACGACGTTCCTTTTAGTCCATATCTCACAGATCTCACATTGTTCCTCTAAATTCTTACAGTTTTCTCCGGTTGTACCTGACTACATTAGTATGTGTTAGAGTATAGAGAAGACTTCGGAGTAAGAATTGCCTGAGAACGGAAAAGAAGTTCAGTTTGCTTAATTGACTAATAGACTACAGGTGTTATGATATATTCAGTGGAATAACAAGGAAGAAAGTTTATCCGGAACCGACTCGACTGCAGATTTGTTCGGGAAGAATGGGATTCATGCAGACTCAAACATTGAGTCCGATTGGATCAGAAGTATGGGCTCCTGCCTGAACTCCGAAGTATAGTTCAGGCAAGATGCATGCAACCACATTGGTCGATAGAAAGAAAAGCATGAAACTGTATTTCCTTTTTTTTTTTTAACTGTATTTCCAATAGTATGTTAGTATCGTCAAATAATACAACTGCCAAAGAAGAAGAAGTTGTGAGTATCGACAAGAGCGTGCTGACAAGAGCGTGCTGACAAAGAAGAGGTAATGAATCGGTGAAAGTGATGAACCTTGTGGTATTACTGTACTGGCGCGGATACGTTTTCACTAGGTTAGAGAGTGTGTGTATTTATTATACTACTTGAGTCTACGACTATCTAGCACATTGGGCTCCTCTCTGACCCAGGCCACACCTTGTACAGTGCTCCTATCCTCTTTTGTTACTTGAAGGATCATTGATATATTCCCCTTGATGAATAGCCATTCAGCTCAGTTTTTACCCGTGGAATTCAGCCACCTTTTCCACCGAACCTTCTACCCCAAAAAAAATAAAAATGGTAGCAATGGAAACTGCGTGAGCGGGAAAAAGTCTCAAAAAACCTGCAGCCCCAGCCAGGCGAGGCCTAGACATCGGGACCACATGAGGTGCGCATGTTCATCTATATCTCCCTTCTTTATAGCAGTCGAGGTGGACTTGATCCAATCCGCCATCTCCGTATCGGGTGCTGGGTACGCTCCGGAAACTCATCGGGTGGCTTTTCCTCCGTGATCAAGGGTTGGTGATGAGTAGGGCTCCGACCCTACCATCTGATCTGATCGTGGTTAGCTTCATGATAATGGTGATAGGGGGATGTGTTGAGATATGAAGACAAAACAGACCGCAAAAGTGATTGGGAATCCTCGTCGAAGTGAGGACTTTGTTACTCAATCTCGGCTCTGCAGACTCTACAGTGAGAGCCGGAGGTTCGTAGGGGACACCTCTGACAGGTGTTGAGAATAGTCCCCCTAGGTTAGAGTGAGTGAGTGATTTTTATTGTACTACTTGAGTCTATGAACTAGGTTAGAGTTATGAGTCAGTTTGGCAAAATTTTTCCAGCATATGCTTATTGAAAACACCAAATTTGGTTATCTTCCTCTACAAAACTTAGCAAAATATACAGTTGATTCATTCCATCTCACGGTTATTTTAATTTACCCAAAATAGCCACAAAACAGATGTGCAGGCTATAGCACTTCTACTTTAATTTACCAGCCGTATGTTTGTCTAGTTCTTAAATATGGCGACAACTGATACGTGGTGTTTGGAATGAATGTGGCCTTTGACTTTGAAGATATTTGTATCCTGGGTTTTCCTCGCAAAAACCTGCGCGAGGGATCTTCACGCACTGTTATTGACTCCGGTCTGCGGGTATTTCACAAGATGAAAATTTCGGACTCTTTGAGTATTCAAGCCTAAAGTTGTCACCTTATTCATGCACACCGCTGAAAAGCTTGTCTAGCTTTGAGAGGCTACAATTTGCAGCTTCTAATCTGGAATTTTGTTTCTGTCAAATTTTATCAAAACATAAAGTAGCAGCGAGTCATAGAACGCACACCACTGCACTATAATTTTTACTGGCCCGAAAGAAGAATTGATATATGTATTGTATTCATTTTCCTGATTTGGCGCCTTGAGGCTCATGCGGGTTTTATCAGAAGATATGTGCTTTAAGTAGGATGACACAATTTGACATTTAGATGCTTACACTCAGACTTCATTTGCAGATACCACTGGAGGTTAACCCTTACGGCGTACAAATCCTTCTGTGCATACCCACCACAGGGAAAAGCGTGAAAACCTTGTGGCTATCCGAGTGTGCTTTCATCATCCCACAAGTACAACATCACCGCGAGAGAGAGTGGTGTGTGGATCTTTCTGGACTCGAACCATATTTCTGGCTAAAAGGGGGTAGGTGTTCAAGCTACCCATTATCAACTAGGGAGAATGGTCCGGATGGTTTACCACTGCACCATCCAACCCTATAGGGATTAATACTTTACATGTTTTGCGATCAGCTTATCTAATGAGTGTGACGCGCTCAACTTGCAATATATGTTAAGTCATGCATCAGCAAGTTGGACCTCAGCCAAACAATAATATTCTCGTACAATTCCCCTAGCCATCGAGACGCAAATAAAACCTTCGATTACCTACAGACCCGATACAAACGAAGAAATAGCTCAAAATTATTCACCTAACGTAGTTCCTCCGGCTACACTATCGCTTGCTAGTAATTAGCACGATCATACACAAGTGAAACAAAAGGGATTAGGAAAGGGTACCTAAACTACACACAAAAAATGCCCCAAGCACAGCCAGAGCTCAAGAAGGTAAGTCCATGACCCCCAAATATTTTATGAAAACAGACTCAGCCACTCAGAAAGGGGCAGAGAGATGTTCCGCGAACCATAAATTGAACTAACAAATACCGCAGTATCTTGATAAGAGACTATTTGTTCAACTTAACGGAAGTAGAAAAGTAATTGGTATACTAAGAGGATATGATGTATGCAAAGATCTGCTGTAAATGAATATTTGCTAATGCTACAAGCAAGGTTTTCCTAAATGTCGTACTGGACGACGCCGTAGAAGAGAAAGAAGGCGGTGAGAAAGTTCGATTGGGTATGGTTGTAGGTATATCACCTCTTCTTCCTATTCATACTAACTCCCACAGGTCATACGAGGAAACTCAGTCGTAATGCTTGAAGCCCTGGAAAGAATAGGTAGTGGTCCAAAAGCTTTGTAGATTGTATCAGAAGGAAAAACCGCAAAGAAAACTAATTTTACTTTGACTAATTGAGTCTCATTATCATACGGATATCATAAAGATGGCTGAATAGGAGCCAAGACAAACTTACATCACAATTCCCCGTCCAATCAATCCTTGACACCTATTAAGCAACATTTTCTCGATGCATGCGAAATTATTGCACAGGATTAAATCAGGATTAAACTGGTCGACTACCTTCCACAGCACAATAAACCTCGTCCCACCTGAAAGACTAGATATTCTTAGATATAGATCTATCTAAAATGAATCTAGCTACTTAAAAATCCCAAAGACTTGTCACTCCTATTAAATACAAGCTTTCAGTGTTTTGATCTCGGTAATAATTGTGATGAAATAATTGATCGCAGTGCCATGTCGTAATCGAAACAAAAGATCCAAAATTATTTGTTGGAGTATGACATACAGGTTTTACGACTCAGTATTCAATATAACAGATCCTGTGTCAATCGCGTATATTGTCATCTAATGATGCATCAAGAAGCTAGGAATTGTTGTAAAGATAAGCGCAAGACTGGATTTTCGGTGTAGATAATGCTAAGGATAGCTGAAAAATGTGAGATTCAGAGATGAAGCGTGAAAATATTAATGTATATTTCTAGCTAATTTCTACTATACAATATGTCAGATAATATAGTTCACGTGAGATGTGGCGTACTACCACCACTACACCCCCCAAGAAGTTGAATGCTTTAGAACTACATTAATCCGAGCATAGATCGCCGTATGTTTTATTCACTGCAGTGCCATACTAAGATCAGTAGCTTTACATTGATCTGTGGATGTATAAACCAGCTTTAGAGTTTCGTCCTTGATGGCCTCGCGTCCCGTAGATTCTCGCATTATGAAATGCCAGTTTTGCGCTGAAATATTGTTGGAGAATACTGTGATCACTGCTGCAGTATTACCTGTCTGTGTAGTAACTGTAATAGGAGCAACAAGAAATATTTCTTCATATAATGGTCGAATCCATCGTGCAGCGATAGCCAGTACCGTTAGGGCGGCATATTCTGCTTCGCAGGTGCTTTGTGCTATGACGGTCTGCTTCTTTGACCACCATGCAATTGGAGAGTCACAAATGAGGGATATGTTCCTAGTTGTACCTTATGAGGATGCTGTAAGAGCTGCATCCTTTGTTTTCTAGTGTAATAGAGCGGTTGATTTTTTGCGCGACATGAACCGAATTAAGTGTTTGAGTACAAGTATCGCATTTTCATAGCGGATTTTTACATATCGGGAGAGTCTATTTACGGCATACTAGATATCGGGGCTAGTCATTCTTGCTGTGTGTAAGAATGAACCAACAACTGAGCTATACTTGTTGGCTTCAATAGTGCAGGACAAATTCTTATGACAATCGATAAGGTAATAATCCGCAACTGGAATATTTGCGGCTTTACATATGCCCATGCCCTTATCTTCACATGAGGTCTCTAATTTATCAGTTTTATCGATATGTATTCCGTTTGATTCTTGACGAATATTTATGCCGAGAAATTTCTTCAAACTGCCCAGGTCTTTAATTTGAAATGCCTTCGATAGTATATCAGTGGTTTCATCAATTTGCGCTTTAAATTTCGCCAAGATCATAGAGTCATCCACGTGTGTGGAGATGATTGTATTGTGTGACCGGATTACATTGCCATCGATGGGGGACTATTCTCAACACCTGTCAGAGGTGTCCCCTACGAACCTCCGGCTCTCACTGTAGAGTCTGCAGAGCCGAGATTGAGTAACAAAGTCCTCACTTCGAAGAGGATTCCCAATCGCTTTCGCGGTCTGTATCGTCTTCATATCTCAACACATCCCCCTATCACCATTATCATGAAGCTAACCACGATCAGATCAGATGGTAGGGTCGGAGCCCTACTCATCACCAACCCTTGATCACGGAGGAAAAGCCACCCGATGAGTTTCCGGAGCGTACCCAGCACCCGATACGGAGATGGCGGATTGGATCAAGTCCACCTCGACTGCTATAAAGAAGGGAGATATAGATGAATATGCGCACCTCATGTGGTCCCGATGTCTAGGCCTCGCCTGGCTGGGGCTGCAGGTTTTTTGAGACTTTTTCCCGCGCACGCAGTTTCCATTGCTACCATTTTTATTTTTTTGAGGTAGAAGGTTCGGTGGAAAAGGTGGCTGAATTCCACGGGTAAAAACTGAGCTGAATGGCTATTCATCAAGGGGAATATATCAATGATCCTTCAAGTAACAAAAGAGGATAGGAGCACCGTACAAGGTGTGGCCTGGGTCAGAGAGGAGCCCAATGTGCTAGATAGTCGTAGACTCAAGTAGTACAATAAAGAATACACACACACACACCTACAATTTTTTTTTTTCACCAGCCAAAACGACGTGGACATCGAACACCTCGAGCCAGGACGCGGAAACCTTCCATGGGTCTCAAGCGTCACAGACGAAGAAGCCAAGTGGGTAACAACGGCCTGCCAGAATAAAGCCCCTGGAGCAGACGCAATTTCTGTTCGTCTTCTTAGGACAGCCTGGCCGTCAATTGGACAAGCAGTGAGAGTACTCTTTGAGGGCTCACTTCGACTGAACCACTTCCCGAAGGCATTTAAGCTAGCGGAAGTAATTCTTCTCCCCAAACCTGGCCGTAATCTCAGTACAGCTAAATGATGGAAGCCCATCGCACTGCTATCCTCTCTCGGCAAAGGTCTTGAGGGACTGGTCGCAAGGCGCATGGCTTACACCGCCATTTCGTACAAGGCTGTGCCGCAGCAGCTTTTTGGAGCACTCTCCGGCAGATCAGCTAATGACCTTGTCTCATGCGTTATCCATGATGTGGAGCATGCGATGAAGAGGCAGAAGAAAGCAGTTATTGTCACTCTGGACGTAAAGGGTGCATTTAACGCTGTACTCCACGGACGACTGCTGCAAAGGATGAATAAAGTTGGGTGGCCGAAACCAGCCATCGCTTGGATATAGTCTTTCCTGAAAGAACGATCTGCCCGTGTCATACACGAGGATAGAGTAACAGACCCAATTCACCTAGAATGTGGACTGCCACAAGGATCGCCCCTATCCTCAATTCTCTTCCTCCTTTATATGGCCGAAGTTGTGGGGGGCAGTGGTTGGAGATTTGGCTATGCAGATGATGTTGCTATCCTCGGCATAGGTTCGACTCCAAACGAAGCCGCAGCAGCTGTCCAGCGAGAAGTCGATGCAGTCCTAGGGTGGGCTGCTGAAAATGCCGTCTCTTTCGACCCAGATAAGGCCGAAGTAGTCTATTTCGTCGGCCCCAGATCCAGGGGTCACGATCTTCCGGCTATAAGGGTAAGCACTCGCGACCTACAAGCATCCGACAATATCCGATGGCTCGGAGTACACCTTGATCGCGGTCTGACCTTCGAAAGCCACGTCGCAAAGTGGACCAGTAAAGCAATGCGGCTAGTGCAACACTTTCGACGGCTCACTCAGTGCACCCAGGGACTAAGGCCCGACCTACTAACCACAGTGATCCGCACGGTAGTCCTGCCAATCGCGATGCACGCAGCGGAATCCTGGTACTCGGGGCCAACCAGGGAATCCTATTGGGGTGTCGCGCGAAATTCATGTAAGAGACAGTGCAAAGTTATTGACCAAACTTCTGCCTTAGGAATTCGCGTGGCTCTACCAACCTGGCGCACCATGCCCATCGCAGCCCTGAGAAGGGAGACTGGCATTTCACCAGCACACATTCTGCTCGAGGAATGCAGGCTCAAGACTGCCGCACGAATCTGAAGACTGGATGAGTACTATCCGCTTCGACTTCGGGCCACGGAAAGCACAGACAGCGCTCGCCACCGACTCGGACTAAAGACATGCAACAAAACCAGACTTGGTCTGGATAGAGTTCATGATTCGAGGGTCCAGAGGATGTATCAACGTCTGCCAGAGGCTGAACTTCCTCCACCGCTCCGACCTCCGGTCCCCCTTCGGCCAATTCCCTACTGGACAAGCAAGAAAGAGACTGCCAAGTTCATAAGAGAGTGGCTACCGACACTCCCACCCGACTGTATCTGCGCTTACAGTGATGGTTCTGGGGCTTCAACCGACAGAGTGTCATGGGCCTTTGTGACCTTTATCAGTGGCACAGGTACGACAATCGAGCAAAGCGGCTCAGGCAAAATTACCAATGCGGAGGTCTACGACGCGGAGGTTCATGGAGCTTTGGCCGCTATAGAAGCAATTACTGCCAGTAATCGAGATCGAGGACGCAGCGCCATCTACATCCTGATCGATAATTCTGCGGCTGTTCTGGCTTTACTGACAGGAACAACGGGCTCATCATCCTGGCATATCCAAAAGTTCGTGAAACTAGCCGCGGGATCAGCCGCACCTGTAAAAATAGGATGGATCCCAGGCCACGAAGGGCTAGCAGGAAATGAAATCGCCGATGAACTCGCCCGAAGAGAGCTTAACTCGCTGGACAACTCTAGGACGATACATGGTGCGATGACCCTCGCCTCATCAGGACGGAAAGCCCGTGAAGTGGCCAGGCAGATGTTGACGGACTGGTGGCACTCGAATCGCCCCAAACACTACGCCGATCTTGAACTCGAGATGCGGCGCAAGAAACCGCCAGAACTAGCGCTACCGAGAGCGGTCTGCGCCAGCTTAATCGCTGCTCGAACTGGACATGGGGACTTTGCGGCATATCATCGCCGCTTCAACCACACTGACGCTACACTTAACTGCGAGTGTGGGAGGGAAAAATCAATTGGTCACCTTGTCCAGTGTCGAAAAGCACTGGAAACATGGCTGCTGAAAAGCGGAAAGCGTAGGGCGCCGGCTCTGGAAACAATGCTCGGATCAAGGGGATGGCAGCTGTTCAGGGACTACGTCCAGGAGATTGGAATATACACAGAGGCTACTCGGGGGATGGCAGGGATACCTGTGACTCGGAGGTGATAGAACGGAAGCCTAGGTGGTTTGACATGGAGAGAGGGATAGGA